TATGTAGCCTTGCTTGCCCTGGAACTTTCTTTGTGGAACAGGCTGGCCTCATGTTCGTAGAGTTCTTTATGTGTCTGCCTCCTGAGTGCTAGGTTAAAGGTATATGCCACCATGCCAGCTTATATCATGTGTTTTAAATTAAAAAACTGAACAGTAGTCGTAAGTATTGGCTTGAGTTGGATGAAGCTTACTTTCTGATATTCCTTTCTTGATGATTCTGTGATGAAGGTGTGTGAAGGCCATTGCAATGTTTATTCATTTCTTGTCCTTAAATTTCTGGACAGTTTTAATGGACATGAGAGACTATTGATGATGAATTAACTAGTCAGCTATTTATTATTGGAATTTAAGTTTAAAATTTTGTGATATTATAATTAATGCTTGGATGAAGGAAATTTTCTTAAGTATTTTGTGGGACGGGGAAAGAGATGACTTTTCAACAAATAGTAATTTAGAAAAATGAGCTACATAGTAATACTACAGTACTACACAGCTGTGAAGGTGACGGGAGGCACTGCACTGGTTAGACAGCACAAATGATGCAGCTCTTTGGGTAGCCAGCTGTTCTGCACATGGCTAGTGTCTAACCAGATCTTTCCACATAAACAACACACCCCACAAACACCCACCTTGTAGTTTGTAGTAGAGCCGCCCCTCACTTGGATTTTTGTCTTTTACTCCTAAGGAATGAGTGAGTCACTACAACTGCTTCTCTCTCTTAATTGCTGTTTAGAAATTATAACTGCATTTAACACCTTATACATATAGCTACATGTTTATGTATTTAGATTTCCTGTGCCTTTGGAATGTTTTTGATTTTTTTATATTAGAATACTGTCAAATGTTAGATTCATAAAAGACATTACATATTGCATAAAGACTAACACAGTGACATCCATTCAGTTCCCTCTCTCAATTTAAGTGATGCTACCAGTCTGCTCCTGAATGACCTATCCCAGCCCACTGCTGGCTTGAGGAACCATCAGCCTCAATTCCCTTACTTCTCTTTATAGTTATTATGTATGCAGATACCTCTAAATAATGCATTGTTAACTTTATGTATTATGTAACATTATACAAATGATTTCATGGATCCTTCATATCACTGTGTATATACTTTTACAATATAGTAGACATGGCTATATATCAGTAATACTTCTGAGATTCTTTGTTTTTGGTTGTTATGCATACTTTTATTCATTTCACTGTTTCATAATGCTAAATGAAACAGATTATGTAATTAATTCTTCTGTAGAAATTTTGTATTTTGTTTCTTTTGCTGTTATAAGCAGTATTGTGCTAAGTTGCCCTTCTCCTTCTTTCTCTCTTATAGTCAGGAAAATTGTTAGGAAATTTTTCTTTTTTCTGGTATGATGCTAGGGATTGTATGTGCCAGGCAAGTGCTCTGCTACTGAGCTTTGCCCCAGCTCCACGATCTTTTCTGATTACATCCTAACTCAAACATGGCATAGTTATAGCCACATCTCTCTATTTTAGTCAGTATTTGCCAATTCTACATTTTTAATGCCTTAATTTCCAGCTTCTATATGCTTTACTTATTTAGATTTGTTTCCTATGATAAGTATGTGCCTAGATTTTTGGATAGAGTATTTTTAATTTGAAAATTCAGTGTTTTATTTTTGTTTTTTGCTTTTTTGTTATTGTTGTTGTCCTCTGTGCTGCTCCCCTTCCTCCCTCCCAATCAGGGTTTCTCTGTGTAGTCCTGGCTGTCCTGGAACTGGGTCTGTAGACCAGGCTGGGCTTGAACTCAAGAAGATCCATCTGCCTCTGCCTCCTGAGTGCTGGGATTAACAGCATACATCATCACCACCTCCCAGTTTAGTTAATTTGTTTTTAAAGTCAATGTCTTAAGATTTATTTTATTTTTACTTACATGTATGTGTGTGGATCTGTGTGTTTGCATATATGTGTACATGTGAGTGCAGATCTGGAGTTACAGGAATTTGTGAACCACCTGGCGTGGGTTCTGGGAGTCAAACCTGGGTCTTCTGCAGAAAGAGTCCTTGCTCTGTCATGCCGAGATTTCTCTCTTGCTCCTAAACTCAGGATCTTTATTCTCTGGCTTAGTCATCTATGGCTGTAATAATGTAGTTAACACAAAATTTCAGTGGCTGTCAGCAGGCAGCCATAGATCTGCAACCTTGGCTGAGTTTAGCTGGGTTTGGTCATAAGCTGTGAGCTGTCCACAGTTATGTGTCATTTTGGGGCCAGCAGCCTCCTTGGGTGAACATTTCTCATGCTGTGCTGTCCAAGAGAATGTAGGCAAACTTGGTGCTGCTGTACAGCTTCCAGGTAGGTGTACTCGGTTCTGCCCCTTTCCAGGAAGGCATATTGCTACACCTCCCAAGGCCAGTATGTCAAAAGTAAGATAAATGCTGGCTTTTGCAGAAAAGCTACAAAATGCTTAGTGTGTGAAATTGGGTATTTTGAGACATTACTCTTCTCTAGGGAAGGGTAACTAGGTGAGTAGAAAGGACCCTGAATGTTTTATCTTGCTACTGCTTCAGAGCCACTTGTTTGACAGACTACTACTGTGAAAGTAGGTGGGGGTGGGGGCTGGGGAGCAGATCTCTCTTTTGAAGCTGTGATAAAGAACCTTGACTATGTGACCTCACTGGGTCATTCATAAGCTTTGGAGCCTGTCCTGGAACTCTCCCTGTAGACCACATTTCTAAGAGTTGCTCCGTGGGTCTGTCCATTAAATTCTAATACATGCTTTGTATGTTTGTAAACTGTAAAACTGTGCATTTGTTACCTCATATGGGTTTGTACATCCAGTGTTTATAAGTTTTATTATCCTGACTTTAAAAACATCATTTTTAATTATGTGTAGGTGTATATGTTTGCTTGTGGGTATGTGCAACATGAGTGCAGGTAGCTGAGAAGGCCAGACAGAGGCCTTGCGGCTTTGCATATCCCTTGTAGCTGGAGTTACAGATAGCTGCGAGCCATCTGATGTGGGTCATGGTAACCGAACTCGGTTCCTCAGGAAGAGCAGTAATTTTTCTTAACTGCTGAGGCCCTGTCCTAATGTTTTAAAGATAATATTTTTAGAGCTGAGAAAATTCTTTGTGTCTTAAATACTAGAATTAAGGATTTATTCAGCTTCTTATGGTATGACAGGAAGAGGGCATTATATCCTATAGGATACTTTGATACTACCATTTAGAAAACTTAACATTAAAAATGTCTATAAACAAGCTCCCGGGCCAAGAGTAGTTGCTCCAAGTGTTAATGCATGTGAACTCTTGGGGCCTCTGAGACATGTTTTTGTGACATTTGGTTGCCTTTCCTTGTTGTCATTCAGCATGTTCTGCCTCTTAGTTTCCAAGGAAGGAAATCAAATCCAATTAATGTAATGAGAAACTTTGAAAGTGTACCTGAATCTAATGTAGGATTCTATGCGATTGTAGACTTGCCACGGCACTCATTTCTTTGGGATAACTTGGTTATCTGGGAATGATAATCACTGGCTAATGCACAGATGAAGGAGAAAGCCTGTGGGCTGGGGTCAGGTGACAGGATGGCAGAACTATGATTATATACTGCTGCTAACTACAGTGTAGGCAGCATGTGGTACATGCACATGCTGATGCAATTTCTACATTGTGTAAATGTGTGCTGCTTACACATCTTACATAATCTGAGTACAGCATATGGATATAGCAAACAGAATCTTTAAAAGGGTGACCCTAACTTTGATTCAAAGCCAAGGGGCTACAGTTTTGTTGTTTTCTTGAGTGAGTTAGAAAATCAGGTGTCACTTTTATGATTGCAGTAAGTAGTAGTTTACTGGTTAAAAAAGGAAGTTATGCAAGTTTGCATTTTGTATTGAATTGCAAAGCTGTAAAGTTATGTATTATATCTAAGAGCATTTATGCATCCATGTTTTTGTTTAAATATACCACTATGCCTTATCTAAAAATGTGCTAATCAATTGAGGAAGATGTTATAATGCAAATCTTAGTCAAGGGTCAAGTGCGTTTTAGTATTGATACCCACACTATATAAATATAAAGCAATGCTTTATATTACACTTGAGTGAAGAGAACTAAAGTCTAAAGATTTCAATTTATTTAGCAAATGTATGTATATATACATATATACATAATATACATTTATACACAGACACACACACACACACATATATATACACACATATGCTTAGAACTCCTTGAAAGGATATGTGCTACACATACCTAAATAAATGTGAACTCATATTATGTTTATACTGAGGAAATGGGCATCATTAGAGAAAGTTTGTAGCACTAATGCTTGTGGTCATTATTTGAGGCTTATATAAATACTTTGTATGCAATCAAAATAGACTTAGCAGGCATGATATGTTTTATTTACCCTAGGCAGGGCTCTCTTCTTTTCCTTGATTTTATTAGCTGGGAACGGGGAAGGAATAATTGTAGTACTGAAGACTGAAGATGACAAGTTTCTGTATGGTAGTTGTCTTCTACATACTAAGCTCCGTATGGCAGTTGCCTTCTACATACTAAACTTCTGTATGGCAATTGCCTTTTACATACTAAGCTCCTGTTTGATAGTTGTCTTCTATGTACTAAGCTTCTGCATGGTAGTTGCCTTTTTTAAAAAAATAATTTATTTTAACTATTTTATATGTGTTGGTGTGAAGGTGTCAGATTTTCTGGAACTGGAGTTATAGGAAGTTGTGAGCTGCCATGTGAGTGCTGGAAATTGAACCTGGGTCCTCTGGAAGAGCAGCTAGTGCCCTTAACTGCTAAGCCATCTCTTCAGCCCTGGTAGTTGCCTTTTTGAAGGTACTTGTTTTAGAAAGAGGGACCTGTGAATTGGATGGTGATTAGTAGTAATCTTTTATATTTAAAAGAGAACGACTAGAAGTTCTATGGGTAATAGAAAAAGCTGAATTAAAGTTATTTTCATTTCCTTGTAGAAAACTTTAACCATTGACCTTTAGAAAATCTGATTTCTTTTTTCTCTGTTTCCAGAACAGGATATGTATTCCTCTGAGAAATCCTGGACAGTAGATTTTGGTCTAATACTGGATTGGGACAACACACACAGACTTTTCCAGTCATGAGTAAGTGCCCTGTTTGGTTCAATTTCTGCTGCCTCAGGAGCTTTTGTATTGTTTGCTTAACAAGAGAAGAAACATGTTACTAGTATGCACTTCCTGAGAGAAGGATTTTATTCTCCTCAGTGCTGTGACCTGTCTCTTAGGCACAAGAGACAACTTTTGATGTTTGGTTTACACTAAGCGGTTAAATATGATGAGGGCACCTTGCCCTACCTTATTAGCTGACAAATTCTAACACTTCAGAGCTATTGACTTTCTGTTTTCTACTGGGAAGTGATTCTAAAAGTATGAGAGGAAATATTGGAGCTGACCATAACTAGGAGAGGCTTTATTGTGTAAAATTTCATCCTAGGGCAACATGGGTTAATGTATTTATGAAAACCACAAAAATCTATCAGTACTTTTAATGTAGCAAGAAAACAAGGATATCTTAGAAGATTTGAAAAAAAAATTATCTTCTCAGTTTTAAGGGGACAGTATATGTCATATTTTCTGTTCACTTCTGCCTGTAAGCAGAACTGGGTTTTATTGTTATTAACTGCTTACTTTTAGAGTGGGAAGAAAGAATAGGGTCTTAAATGGCTGTTGGAAGTATAGACTTTCTGAATATGAAAACTCTGGGATAGTGTGAGCATTTCCTTATTAGAATGTTAGTTTACATTTTTTGTGTATTGTTTACATTGGTTGTATTTACCTTAATATGAATTAAGGCAGCTTTCTTCGTTTTTTTAAAGTTTATTTTTATAGTGAAATATTTGAGTCTTTCTAAAAAAGATCCTTGCAGAAAGTCACCTTTGGTTTTTAAAACATCTCCTGTGCCTTTTTTTTTTTGTTGTTGCTTTGTTTGTTTTGTTTTGTTTTGTTTTGATTGGGGTACTTTGAACAAACAGGATCAGTTACTGGAGGTGTTCAGGTCCAGATGAGGGAGAGGCTCCGTGTGCTAACTCAGTTCCATGCATGAACTTTTGTATGAGGTTATATCATAGAAACCCAGCTCCAGTGAAGATGGTCATGAGTTCATGGAAATTAGGATGGAAGTTGCAAGATTTTTTAACTTAAAATTCCTTTGAAAATTAACTAAACTTCTCTTTTTAGTTTTAGAGTTTTATAGCATCATCGTTACATGAGTTTCTGAGGACAGGCAACTTGTATTTTCATTTTCTGATCTCACTGTTTTGTATTTACGTACTAAATAAATATTACAGATACTTGTGTTTTTAGTGTGTGGTAGCTCTTCTGTGTATTAATATTTTTTAGATGAAATTTGAGGAGTTCTTTCAAGAAGACTGTGTGTGTAGAGGGTGGTAGCTGGAACTGTATGAGAAAGTAATGTTGACTCACTCCACAGAGGTGCACTGAGTGGTCCAATAGTCTAGCATAGAGATAGATGGGAATGGACATTGGGAAAGAAAGGAGGAGAGGAAGACAGTCTCCTAATCCTTTATATAGGGCTTATGGTGTTAAATTTCAGTTATAGGAGTGACTAAAGATTCATTCTGGAGAAATTACTCAGAAACATACATGCTTTTAATGTAAAATTTAAAAGTTGGTTACCTAGTCAGTATTTGCTTTGGCTAACTTGTTCTTAGACTTTGGTTCTTTTCAAACTTTCTTTGGATCAGACTGGGTTACATTTCCTTTTCTTGACAATTTGATGATATTATGTAGAAAAAAGAAGTTGTTCTTGAATAGACCACCACAATAAAGGTAGTCTAAGGAGTGTTACGGTGGTCACATGCTGTGTTTTTTAGGGAGCTCTAAATCTCAGAAAGTGGGACTCGAATGTAACAGAAATTCTTATTTTGGAAAAAAAATCCACTTGGCGTGTAGTTATAGTGATTTAACTACATTTGTCATTAAAATCTAGATGGAATTTCTAAACCTAACGTGGGTGAGAATCATTGATTATTTTGTAATGATTTTCTTTAATATTTATGTAGGTATCAGAGGAAAGATTGGATATTTAGATGTGTGAGTAACTTTACCTGGAAGGTTCCTCAGCTCATGTCATGGAACACATAGGACATAGTAAGCTTTGAACAGCACATGAGATAAATGGATGAAGGTTGGAGACAACCCACCTTTATACTGCAGGCCTGGCCGTCATGTGTTCTCAGCAAGGGATGGTTTGTATCTACCTGCCCTGGCTTAGTCCTGAAATAGCAGTCAGGTTGCCTAAGCCCTTTGAACTTGCTTTGTTTTTTAGCTCCCATTCTTGCCAATATGTATTCTAGCAAATTCTGAGTTGAATACTTGGGATGCTATTATGTTGTGAATTTCATTGTGGATTGTTGACTTAATTAGTTAACGAGAAGGTTTTGGTTTTTAGCACTTAAATTGTTACTGCTTTTTGTATTTGCATTTTGTAGTTTACATTTATTCAGTTTGTTTATTTTATCATGTAAAGCCAAAAATGAAATAAGGGAAGTGAGCAGTTTAGATTATTGATAGCTATTATAGCAAAGAAAGTCCCCCATGCATGGCAGTATTTAGTGATTTTATTGATGGGTATGTTTAAAACAAAGCAAAAAAGCATAAAAGTAAAAGAAATTAAGTTATATTTAATTTTCTTTTTCAAAGCTTCATGTTTTCTCTATTTTTAAATTTTAACCTCTACTGTATTTTGTTTCACTTTATTCAGGAGAGCTTTCTTTGAAATTAATAATGTTTATTTTAAAGTTATTTGGCTGTCAGTTCTCTTCTCCTGACTGGGTCAATCACGAGTCTGTATCGAATATTGGTGTGTTTGATCCTGCCCTTTGGCCTACATAATGGGATGTGCTCTTTTTTTTTGGGGGGGTGGTGGTGGTTCAAGACAGGGTTTCTCTGTGTAGCTTTGGAGTCTGTCCTGGAACTCGCTGTGTAGACCAATCTGGCCTCAACTCACAGAGATCCACCTGTCTCTGCCTCCCAGGTGCTGGGATTAAAGGTGTGTCTCATCACTGTCTGGTGGGATGTGTTCTTTTTTTCTAAAGTCATTTTTTTTTGCATTGGAAACATCTCTTATTTAGCTGAGGAAAAGAAATGGGCCTGATAGTTGGTGTAGTGTATTGATGGTTTTCTAGTATAGTTGGAACAGTTTGCTTTAATGTGTGTTTTAGTAGATAATGTTATAAATGGGGTAGATCACTGAGCCCCTCAGTGATAGCTCAGGAATTCTGCTGCTCTTGGTTATAGAAAAATTGGCAGTAATAGATACTTCCCTAAATATTGGTTAACAATTCTGTCTAGAACAATAATCTACCTAAAAATAGAATAATTGCATACCTCAGAAATAGGCTGGGAAGTTAAAAGAAAATTTAAGTTGAATTGTATTTTAAATACTGGTGAATCTGTCCTATCACTGAGCAACATCTTCATTGTTGTTGCAATGATTCTTAATGTAAGGGATGACTTTGTAAATGTTTGGGGCTTTATAGATGGCAGTTAACGGCAGAGCAAAGTAGGGTGTCCTACAGCTTCCGTGGAGAATGTTGTCTCCTCCCCAAACTGACAGTGGTAAACCAAGGTGGTGGCAGTGATGAGTGTCAGCAAACACTGCTTCTCAGGAAGTGTGTGCTACTGGCTTCTGATTTAAGCACACTTCATTGTGTGACTCCGCCCACTGAACATGGAATGCACTTGGCTTTTAGTTAATTTATTTTCTTACTGTAGGAAAGTGAATAGCTCTTAATTTGATACTGTCATGGAGTAAATAGAGCCAAATGCAGTTTTATACAGAATATTCAGCTGTGACATTTCAAAGTTTTTAGGAGATAGATTTTTTTTTTTTGTTTCTACTTTTGATACTTTTTTACCAAACTTAAAAGAAAAACTTATAAAAATAGTGCCCCAAATTCCCATAGACTTTTGATTAGGATTTACTAGTTGTTTATGTTCTCTCTCAATCTTCATGTCCTTCTCTTTCCCTCTTCTCTCTTTCATACACTTCTATATGAAACATTTATTTATGATTGAAGTGTTTTTGATGGAATTCTGGTTTTCTTTGATTAAAAGTCATTTTGAGTTTTAGCATAAACATAAATTACTAAAGTAGTAGCTTTTCCAGCTTTTAGAATTACTTTATTAGTTAAAATTACAGGACATTTATGTATTATTTCTCCAAAGCTACATTATTTACCAGGTTGTATAGGTCTTCCAATAAGAAATTTTTTTAGACATACATTATATTACAAAATGTATACAAATTTGATACATGAATTAACTTCAGTAAATTTCCTTTTTTTAGAATACAGATTAATGACTTCTTTATAATTGCTTTAAGACCCTTCATCCTTTTTTATTATTCCTTTCTTGGTATTTTCGTATGTGCATTTTACATGTTTCAGTCAGACCACTCTGTACTCTTTCTCCTGCAGCTCCTCCTTATATCCCACCACTTTTCTCTTCCAGCTTCATCTTCTCTCTCCTTTTAAACCCAGACTCCACTTAGTGCTGCTGCCTTTGTGTGCATGGTTAGCCTCTCAGGGGCTGCAGCCTCCCCACCTTCAGCCAACTGCCGCTTGCCAGTAGCTTTTCAGATTCAGGTGGGACTTCATGAGCCCCTGTCTTGTCCATGCTGGGATTTTTGGTTGGTCTGATCTTGTACAGGTCTTGTGCATATAGTCACAGTCTCTGTGAGTTCATGTGTGCAATGGCACTGTCGAAGACCATCCATTCTTAAGGGGACTCTTAACATTTTATTGAGAGAACAGTTTCACAATGGCAGTCCTCTTGAAGTTCCCAGAGTCCCAGGAGCCTGGGGTGGAACACATCTTATGCTGACTATCCTTGTTGGGTAGGGCAAATGGCTTGCTGTTTTTAATTTCCTGCCTACCGCTACCTACTCACCCGCCTGCCTCCAGCTTTATTTATTTGAAGGTATGTGGATTGGAGTAGACCATTTGTAAGCCTTGTACCACTGGTTATGATTAGGCTGGTGGGAGGACTTTTATTCAGTTATGCCTTAGAGGAGCCTTCCTGGCTATGCGCTGACATGCTTTGTAAGGAAACACAGTGTCAGG